TACATGTAAATTTTGTAGCCACCAAATGGATTGTTCCTGAAAAGCAATTTTGAGCTTCTAAGACAAAACTACAAAAAAGCAATCAAACTGTTGAACAGTGCTCCCAAGACAGAGAATAGTTTGCTGGAAGCTGGAGAGAGTCTTAGTACTATGTACTTCAATAATCTTGGATGTGTACATTTTCATATGCGCAAATACAACTTGGCAGCTTTCTATTCACGACTGGCCTTGGAGGAAGATGACAAGTCTTTGCTAACGTTACCAGAAGCTGAGAAAAGTGAGTCTATGAATATAGTTCTGATAAACTTTTTAACCTTGCAGTTAAAAAAAATAATGATGGAAAGAAAATAAGGTGCATTGGAGTCAAACTTTAACAAGTCAGAGGACGTTTTCTTTCGAAAAATGTCCACTGATTTTGAAAAATATTTTTTTCTTGTCAAACTGACATTTTAACTGGATTTTGKCTCTTTTTTGCCCTGTTCAACACAATTCTATTTTCATTAGGCGAGGCTTTACATAGTTGTCCAATGGTTGGTCTACGGTTAAGTCGACGGCATGAAATCCTGTATAACCTGGGAATTCAGCTGCTATTCTCAGGAAGACCACAGGCTGCCTTTGACTGCCTGGTTGAATCTCTACAAACATACCATACTAATGCTAGACTCTGGATGAGGCTGGCTGAATGCTGTATACTGTCACATCAATTGGTAAGGTGTCCAGATAGTTGAGTGCTTCAAAACTTTCTTTCACATATAGTACASTGATGGTGATGTCCTGTTTTCAGGTTGACGACAAGAGATGGAAATGTAGTGAGAAATGTGATGTGGTCAAGTCTGTAATTGGATCTGGACCCCACAGGAAAATTGTCATCTTATCAGAAAGGGAAAAGAGATCACTAGAGTAAGATTAGACTCCTCTGCAGACATCATTAAGAATCAAGGGCTTCCTGTCTTTTTTGTGATTCAAGAGGGAGAATGGAGGCATTTTTCCTTTCTCATCACTAGTCCCTAGTGACCAAGATGGCCCTTACAAAAGAAGCCCAAAGGAGGAAAAAAGAGAAGCTTGGGGAGGAGGCTAGAGTAGGATATCCAATATTTAACCTCCTTCCCAGCAGACTCCGCAACCGTGGCTGTGAATCATTTCAATATATCTCTATTTTTATTCTAGTAATGAAAGCCAGTCAGCTGCAATGCCAGCCTGTACACTAGAATTCTCCTCAATCTGTCTGCAAAATGCTCTTCTGTTACTGAAGGCAGGAGAAACACTCTTAGAGTCTAGACAAGAGGGTAGTACTGTAGAAAATCACATTGGACAGGACAATAATGAAGTCTTCGAAATAAATGGCTCTGTGTAAGTATATGGATGAGTTTCAAGAGGAAATTATTTAGCATGGATTTATAATTYATGCATTATTAATGAGCTGTGATTTGCATTAATTTTGTTATTCAGAGAGAGYGATTCTTCAAGAAGTTCGGTTTGTTCAGAGTCTACAATTCCAGCTCTTCCTGGCCCACCAATCAAATTAAAAGAAATTCCCAATATACGGTAAGCTTTTAAGAATAATTTTTAATGATTAATTATTGTTGACGGTCATGTGTGCATGCTAAGCCCTGTACTGACTTTCCCTTTTTATGACTTGCAGATGTGCGATGTTGTGTTGTAGTGCGTATGTGTCTCTAGGTTTAGGCGACAATGTAACTGCATTAGAACATGCACAACGTCTATTGGAACACACAAATATCTCAGGATCACACAAGTATGTTAAATAAAGAAAACAGACAAACAGATATATATTATTTTGTTAAAATGTTATCGTACGTTGGATTCATTGTTTAAACACTATGATTTGCTTCTTCTCCGTTAGTTTATTAGTACATTATTTTCATCTAAAAATGATGTAATAATTACAATATTATTTCAGTGACCCTTATTCCAAGGGGTAATAGCGCTATCCACCGTATAAATCACATAATCAACTATGAAATACCTATATTTTTCCATTTCGTAAAATTGATATATGGTTGCTTGGAGATACGAATTTTATCTCTCGTGTTGAGAATCTCTCACTCGTTTGCTGCACTCACTCGTGAGACATCTTTTCAACGCTCGAAGATAAAATCCGTATCTCCATGCGCCCATGTAATATCCTCTGTATCTTGTATCCATTGGATAAAATCCATAATCACGGATGCAGTGGATAACTTTATACACCTTTATACACCCAATCCTTGATTGAAACACAAGGATAATTTATGTCGGACAAAACATTATTAACCTTATGATAATTATTTATTATTAATAAGATATTAATCATTAATTTGTGTGGCTCAGATTTCTAGGACATCTATATGCTGCTGAATCTCTTATCAAATTAAACCGAATATCAGAGGCTATCACACACTTATCGTGCGATAATATAAGTGATATAGGACCTTATAGTGGCTCAGGTAAACCTGCTTATTGACTACTGCTTGCTGTTATTCATGATATTTTATTCTCARTTTCATTGATCACAAACCAAGCATTAACTGAGGCATCAASGTACAATGAGAAGAAAGAATAAATCTGCAGGGTTCGTACAGTCTTGAAAAGTCCTTGATTTTGGAGCTAGGTCCTTGAAAAGTCCTTAAATGCAAATTTTACTTGAAAAGTCCTTGAATTTGAGTTTTAGGTCCTTGAAAATGATAATTTAGTCCTTGAATCAGTCTTGGTTGTTGTGAAGTAATGTTTTAGAGATCAATTTTGCCGAGCTTTGAAGCAAATTGATAATATTTCAATCCTTTTGGCAATGTCTGTTGTAGGGTTCCTGATGTAGTATTGTGCATTATACAACTTTTCAGTAAAATCAGACGTTTTGATTGGTTGGCTTTCGTGTGTTATCAAAGTATAGATACACGGATTACGTCAAAACTAATTATTTGTTGTATAAAACAGATAGATCTCATTTTTCCGTGCGTGTGTACTCTAATAGATACACAGATGACGTCAAAATGTAGTGAGAACAACAGTCACGCACTCGACTGCGTCTCGTGCATACTCTTTTGTTCTCACTACATTTTGACGTCATCTGTGTATCTATTAGAGTACACACGCATGGAAAAATGAGATCTATTTGTTAAATACGGCGGTAAAGGAATTAATAGAGATTGAGAAAAATATGTTCCAAGAGATAAAGTTCTTAAACAAAGTTGACTACAATGTTTTTATTGTTCTGTTTGGTAAGACRCAGGACTAGTAAGTTTATTAACTGTATCTTTCTCTTTGTAATTGGTGTCCTTGAAAATTGAAAATTAATCCTTAAAAAGTCCTTAAAAAGTCCTTGACTTTTATATGTAAAAATCTGTACAAGGTTTGATGTTTTGATTCAATGTTTTGTTTGTGGTCACTGAACTTAGTATGGCAAGTTGTGATTTGAAACTTGGTTATTTGCTCATTTTTTAAATTAAAATTCATTTACTCATTTTTTTAAATTAATTCTTATATAATTTATRATTACTGTTTATTCATTTGTCTATTTATTGTAAGTATTTTTGGAAGTTTTTTTCACATTTATCCAATAATTTGTTTGGATATTTGATACTTTCATATTATTTGACAGGTGTAAGTGAAAAAGGAGACAAAGAAAGAGATACATCACCTCATTGTAAGTTTTTTTTTTTACTTCTTTTTATTTTTTCTTTCTCCATTTTCCCCCTTCATTTATTTTTATTCTTTCTTCCTCTTTTTTATCCTACGTTTCCCATTTCTTCTCTTCAACTTTTCATCCTTTTTCACTCCATAATGGCTCTAAACTGTCTGTCGTTCCGATTTCTCCTTCCTTTGCTTTCTTTTCTCTTTTTCTCTACTTTTCTTCTATTTAAATTCTTTGTTTTTCATTCTCAGTCTTTCCCTGTTCTTCTTTCCCATTCACTGATGTACTTTGTTTGTGCAGGTTGTGAAAAGACAGACTATCCTCACTCTCTAAGTGAAGGCAAAGCTACTCTGCTCTATAACCTAGCAAGTACCTACTGTCTGAGAAGTGAATATGATAAAGCTAAGAAATGTCTTTCACAGGTGAATATCATGCAACAAGAACTCACTGAAGCTCAATCATCGTACCCCGAGCCTTCGTTTTACTTGGCCAGCGCCTCGACAAACACTAGAAGTCTTACGTTTTCGGCGCTGGCCAAGAGAATGAAGACTCTGGGTACGAGATTGACTGAAGCTGGTATTTCATCAGTGAATCTTTCATCGGAGAAAATCATTCATTTTATTAAAACTTTCATTGGAAACACAGACTCAGCTTAAGTTAGTTTTCTCTTTAACCAGTCTCCTCTGCAGACTTATCTTTCCTTTCTAAAAAATAGGCTTCCTGTGTTAGAACCCAAAATATATAAAAACTGGAGAAATATGATGACTGCAGAGGAGGCTACTTTTTCTCTTTGTTTTTTGTTTTTTTAAGTTCATAATTTTCAAGAGAAAGATGTAAATTTTTATATGGAGATTGCTTGACATGATAAAGATACAGTTGTGTAAAAAGATAAATTAAAAATAAAATATATAAATAATAAATAATAAAAATAATTATAATAAAAATAAAAATAATAAAGATAGTTTAATTTGTTAACCAGGCTCACCAGGCTAACTCTCAAGGAAGTTCAAAGTCTTTGTCAGCAAGAATGGTGCTATTAGCTGTTTATATTGAATTACAATGTGGTAAGTGAATTTACTTGTGTCATGCYATTAGCCCTCTTCTGTAATAATAGATCAAGTTTACAACAAATTAAGGCAGGCTGCCTTCTATTATTTTCCAACTTGTCATTGTCAAGTCATTGTCAAGTAAGAGTTTTGTGTAAGAGCTTTTATCAGTCTGAAAACTCAAACTATTGTATGTTGGGAAGTGAGCTTTGCCACTGAAACTATAGAAATTTGCCTTCTTCTTGTGTGACTTTTTAAAACAAACTCAGAGAAATGTCTTACACATTCAAACTAACTCCTGGCTGACTATTATGTTTTGAGGATCTACACAGTCCTTGCAATCAGCAGTACTCATTAGGTTTCCTAGCTGTATTAAATAGAACAAGGTTTCATTTACTTGTTACCTTTATTTGTTACATTTGTGCCAACCTGAGCTTGATATTGGTATAGCGCCTAGGCACTTCTGCTCTTTTCTTTACTTCCCTTATGCTAATAGTGGACTTTTGGCTTATTGAGATGTGGCATTCAGAKTGTTAAGTGTACAATGTGATTTCAACAATTTGGAAATCAAATCCATGCCTGTAGGAGTGTTGGACTGCAGGCTTGAAGGTACATGCCATAACCAAAGGGCCCTCTCTCACTCTTGTTTGCTATAGATGCCAATGAAAAGGTGTCTAAAATATCATGTGTTACTATTTCAGGCAACACTTCTAATGCCTTACAGATAATCAAGAAGAATCARTTTGCTCATATGTTAAGTAATGGGAAATCAAAACAGTCCAAGCGTCTTAGTGATTTCTGGAAATCATGATCATCGTTTGTTATACAGAGACTTGTTTTTGATCAAACAAGAACTCTTGAAATATACTATGGAGGGAAATTACTCCAAATGGATCAATGTTAATGTTGATGTGTAGGGATTCGTTGTTGAAAACAGACAAAATTATGAAATAAAATTCAAATTGTTGTATGCCATTTGCAATTGACTTTTTCCCGATGAAACTAGACAGGTTAGAATCCATCTTCAGATAACACTTTGAAGTATACATCTCCCCCTCCCCTCCCCCCCAAAAAAAACACAACAACAACAACAACAAACAAACAGCAACAGCAAAAAACATACAAAAACAAACAAAAAGTAAGATCCTAAGATCATGCACAAGGCTGTTCAAGACACAGCTATCATGATGAATTCAAAAGCAACTGTAATTTTTACAGCACTTGTGTAAATTCTTGTACAATGACTGGCCAATTACAGCATGTCAATAAGAGGACAAGCATCACACCATCACCTGACATCATCACATATTGCACGGGAGCAGAGTTGAAAGAAAATGAATTTGCTATTGTTAAAGGGACATGGTTCACCAGCATCCCTTTCGAGCTTTTGTTTATGTTTGAAAATAGAAATACATCATAATATAAGCAAAAACTTACTCTTTATTATTCCTTTATCCTATATGAATGGAGATGCTTTAAGATTCGACCATTAAACTGATTGCAAATGGATATTCAAAGTCACCTCATTTTCCATATATGAAAAATCTAAAACACGACCGCATTGCATGCTAGTGGACCATGYCCCTTTAAGTTTTATGACTAAGCAACAACCACATTCAATTACTAACTATCAAATATTTATTTTCTTTTGCCATGTCTTATTTTTATACATATATCATCATTAAACATGCTAAAACTATACAATAGTTTGCAAAATCTGAACTTTATTTTTTTTTTGCATTCATTGAATGTACTTTATATCATATTACCATGGCAACAACTCAACGATATCAGAGCACAAACTCTTAATCTGTAAAACAATACTATATCTTAAGATGAATAACATTAATTACCACCTGGGCAGTCAAATAAATAAGATAACAATAGTCAAGAAAAAAAAACAACACTTTTTTTGTATAAAATGAGAGAAATTAAAATTATGACAAATGATCAAAACTTTGGGAAAATCATATTTTTTWGTGTTCACTTGCAAAATAAATAGTCCTGCTTCACAGATGTATAGAGTTTGCAKTATATAATTATAAAATCTTATTTAACATTTTGGTAGATTTACCTACACTTGTCTCAAATATAGAGTGTAAAYTCTCAATCCATGAAGTAAATTTGAAATTACTGTGGTTTTCTTTCAACTGAGGGAAGAAATTGACTATCTATTTTGTACTTTCATGGTCGAAGAAAAACCACAATTATTTTCATGGGTTTAACATTGAATATTATAACATTAACAATTCAATAATTCTTTTTGTTTAATTTTGGATTTTTGTCCATTTTGTCCCGACATTTTTTTATATTTTTGGCATTTAGAAAATTATATTTGAAATGAACTTCAAAGAATATCTTGCAAGTCATCTAACTAACAGTTATTTAAGTTAAATGTGTGAATAAGTTATATATATTGGTAAGCATGGCACAGTCCTTTTTTTCATTGCTTGTTTTTTTTGAAATATTTTCCCCCTTTTTTCAAAAAATATAACATCTATACAACATTTTTTTAAACTTTTCAATAAATATTTTTTTCTTTTTATAGAACTGCCATKACTATCAAAGTCCTTAAAGTTCAAAATCTAGTTATAATGTTACTATAATAATCCTTTAGTGCCTCCAAGATAACTGTGAAGGTTACTGCTGCTTTCCTATGATCCACACAATCCAGCAGTCCATTTAAGAGCTTAATCCTGCCTTTCATCTTAATTTTACCATAGGTGCTGGTCTAAGCTGTGTGTACCTGATGATTTTTTCTAATGATGGGCTCAGGGCACCATTTGCCTGTAAATAAGACAATTTTTTTGGTTAGTAATGTTCTCATTCTGAACTAATAGAGGAAAGTTAAAAAACAGTGTAATATGTTTTACACTAATACACCTTATTACACTCTCATTACATTTTTATTCTTTTATGTCTTTTCGAACATCACACTTTTTAAAATAGTCATGTTTAGATTTACAGGTTTTTAATGATTCAATTCTAGATCGTCAATCAGCTTGTTTTCAGTAACCACGTTCAAAAGTATAGTGGTTATACTACGTACCTTGATAAGTATGCAGTGAATGGCCTCAGAATTATTCAAAYTGTAGCCAGCCATGCTCATTAGCTTTCTACTACTATTTACCTTCAAAGAGAAAACAAAATATGTGAAATCAACTTATGAATTCAGTGAAAATATCTTTTAATAATATGCATAATATTCTCGTTTCTGCTCTATTAATAAAAAAAAAGGCATTTGTATTGATTTGGGCAGTATTTTTGTTAACATATTTTCAATGATACAGAACTTGAACTCCATATGACTGTGTGTACCTTGATCACAGGAATAGGAAACTCCCAACAGAATGCTTCGATTAGTCTACAATGGATCTGAATGCCAGGATCAGCCTGTTTCGTATCTACCAAAATACAGAGCGCAATGCTCTCRGCACCTCTKTGGAGAAAAATGAAYAATYAACCTAACATTCTCCAACTTTAAACAATCCGTRTAATTTTTTACATCAAATGASTGTGTTGGGTATTTGTGACTTCTTTTGKGTAAATTTAYTGTACTAATTGTGATTGGCTAGTTTTAATCGAGTTGTCTGTAATAATAGCACTGTGCCAAAAAGAATAAAAAAGAAAAAATTGAAATAAGGAAAACATGAAATATTTTTAGGTGAACTTATATTCAAAGTACATTTGTTGCATAACAGAGTAGTAATGCGTAAACACGTGCGTAACTGATATAACAAGCTCAAGGTTCACTTAAAAAGCAAAAATAAAACTTAGTACAGAATGACATTTAAAGGGCTTTTTTAACCTGCTTCAATTTTTTCCGTTTTACATCCAAACAATGTTTTGAGTGATAAATAATATGCTTCTTAAGCAATATAATTGAGGACTTACGCGTCTAGCTGTTGTGCTGCTTCATGGACGCCACCAACAAATTCACCTCTGCCGTGAGCAGTTTGTATCACGTTTTGAAGCGATAGCTGCAGTGACATGTTCCTTTGGACAATATGTTCTGGATCGCTGAAAAAAAAAAACAAGAACATAATATTAATGAAAATTTATATCAATTAAAGGAAAAAAGCCATAGATATACGTTTTTAATTGATAATACCCAAAACAATGGATAGTCACTTTGCTAAAAGACCTTAAAGCGATTTGCTAATTCGAGGGTCAACGTTGATGTGACGTTCTGTTTCATGACTTTCATGGAGTATTTTTTTAAAAAACCAGGAAAATTACATAAGAAATCGTAGTAAGACTGACAGCGATTCTTTCTTTCTTTTTTAAGTCAGTTCTTGCAAATTTCTCTACAAAAGAAATACCTAGAGCTAGAGATTCAAGAAATCTGTGCAGATCGACGACTTCTCCGGCTGCAAGCAAGGGAAGTAGCAAGCGAACTGCACCAGCTTGTATTACCGGTCTTTTGCGGAAATGATCCCCAAAAAACTAGACCTTTTTTTTCTAGCTGTTCCATAACACTGCTACTAGTAATTCAGTTATGGTCGATGTGCACAATAACCAAACTTGATCGATCAATTCCTGAAAATCACGAGATGCCGGTGTTGGTCTCGTGCAAACGAGTACAAAGTATAAACTAGAAATTTACTTACTCGATTGTCTCAAATTGGGAGCTTTCCCAGTCAGATTCGTCCCTCATGTTGTAGCGATTGCAAATAAGAATATTTTAAATTATTAGCTGTAGGCTGAAAGCTCCAAGGCCCTCGTATATTTGGAAAACGCCTCCACTATGTCTTGCCTCGTAGCGATTTTTCCGAGTGAATGAATCTCGTGACAATTTCGCTGGCCTTGTACATTTTATGGTGCAATTGGAACTCACGTGACAGTAGCAAACTGACCAGGGGTAGGGACATATACTTTTCTAATAAATGCAAAATATAAAGCTTTTTTTACACATGAAACCATTTTAATCCTCTTGGGAGATTAACTACAACAATTCTTAGTTTTTGTAGATAATTTGTATAATTTTTATTTTTCTCTGCTTGATAATTTAATCTTAAAAATAAAGACCCCTACCCGTTCCCCAAGAGGAACGCATGAATGCGGAACCAGGCAGGAAATTGGGCGCGAGTTCTTTCGGGGGTTTCCCTGTGACGTCAATTGTGACACGTGGCTTTGACAGACGACGTAAGGCAAGATCAAGCAAGACTTTCATCAACTAAATTATTCATTCTTGTGTCTTTACTTTTTAAGGTAAGCTTTCTGTAGAAAAAGGCATTTTGGAGAATTCACTAATAAATGGGAACTGATTCAAAGGGATTAAAAAAAATAAATACATGATTACAACGTATGAAAGAATGAGTGAATTACAAGCAAGAAAAATGAATAAATCGATTAATTTGGAATTAGGGATATTTACATGTATGAAAAGGGAAATAACCAAAATAATAGATACAAAAAATAACTTTATAGAAAATTATAAAAAAAATCTGATGTGGATTAAGAGAGACTTTAGAGAATACAAGAGTATATAAATCAGCTTTGAAATTGATAAACAAACAAACAAATAAATAAATAAAACAAACTGTCAATCAACCCAAATTTTAGTGCTACATCTTTATTCTAATATGCATAATTATTACTGACAGCTGTCATTTAACAGATTTACAGTATTCAAAGGTTGGATAACTTCACTTACATTACCACCATTTGTGATTATYGTATTGCTACCAGTTAAAGACTGGAGGCATTTTTACACTGTACATTTGTGAAAAATCTTGCTGGTAATAATAAATTGTGCAAATGGCAAATCATTCAAATGTTAAATGTCTCTAAAGGAATTTAAAGATATTATGAAATAACTCTGAACTGCAGAATCATTAAATTTAGTTCATAACATTAAACATAATAAAAAAAAGTTGATACAACCTGGAAAAGATTGTTTTACTTACAAATATTTGCTATGCTATGCTACACTATATACAATATGGCATGACAACACTGTCTAACGACATGTATATAATGGAGTTTATTTGTATACACCACAATATATTGATGATAAACACTGCTATATTATAAACAATGGAAAACCAAGAAATTGGGAGAAATTAGCACTTTTTGTATCATACAAAGTGTAATAATTAAAGTACAAAAACGATGATACACTGAAAAGATAAAGAAAAACGCTCCTAAATGCAGAGCAATAAAGTTTAGTGTGCTAAAGTGCATTTCAAAGGTTAATAAAAACCACCCTGGGTGCACTATTTGATGTTTGTACTGATCTATCTACATTTTTGCTTTTGAAGCAGATTAATATTATAAACACTTTTAATATTATCAGGAGTGGATTATGGAATGTACATGAGGTTGTATACCCATATTGGTAACATTGTGCCTCGTTTACAAGGACTTCTGTATTTTGCACTCCTTAATGGCATGCAAACACAACAAAAGAAACATTTTTTTTGCATCAGTCATGTAAACCAAGCTGAAGTCTTCCTATATTTGTTTTAAAAAGAGTTTTTGTTTTGGGAAAAACTTTGGTTTGCTGTACTGTGTAAAATATTGAACCTTGTAAACGCAAAGATGCTGGAATCTAAATGAGTCTTGACAGAGAACCATCCCCTTCCATTTCTCTGTACATTTTCCTTTGCCTCAGATACATGATTGTCATAATAACCAATGCAATTGCTAAGATCACGTCAAATGCCACAGCAGCCCATTTATAATGCCTCTCTGATTTAAGTTGCTCCTGACAAGTATGGCAGTCTGTTGAAAATGTAAAACAACATTAACAATTAATACATCATACTGGCTTAGATTCAAGAGGGAAAAAAGGTTAAAATTTGTATTCTTTGAACAAGATGGCAACTGTATCTTTTATTGTAAAATAATGAATAGAGTTAGGCTTTCAAGCTATTTGGTCCAATCTGAAAAGTCAAGTCTGCTTGAAATAATAAAATCTATGGTCTTCGTCAAGTTGTATTCAGGGATACAGAATCTAGTCAGAATAATCACTTGACAAAAACACATCTTCCTACAAAAAGACATAGGTACCTGCTGGATGAGCAGTTGGTTTTGCTGTAGTTGGCTGTGGAGTTGTAAAATTGGCAAAGCTTGATGTTGGAATTGCAGTGGATGTAGGAGTTGGTGTGATGGGTTTACTAGATGTTCTTATTGGGGCACTTGTACTGGTAGGAGAGATGGGTGCGTGTGTTGATGTCATTGAGGCATGATGTACTGTTGTAGAAGGAATGAGTTGTGTAGTATGGATGCTTGAATTGTGGGCAGTACTTGTTGGCAATGAAGAAGGGGATGGTACGATTGATGTAGTTGAATCTGAAACAAGATAAAACACCAAAGACAATCAACACAAATTGCAACTTTTTAGTATTGTTTGTTGGTACCTTTTGGCCTTCTTAGGCAAACTAGCACTACACTATACTAGCTTGTGTTTCTCAAATTGAACACAGTAATGCGTCTATCAGCGGCTTGTCCCTGGAGGTGACCCCCGGGGAATTCAGGGGAAGTTAGGGAGTTTTTCACTGACTGTAAGGCGTTTTTTGCACAGGGGCAAAAATTCATTTCTGATTTCTGAAAATCAATCGCACTCTCATCCCCAGGGACATTTGTTATTCCTATTTTGCCTCTCACCCACAGGAATTTCATTAGGTTTTATGGAGCATTTTGATGAATTCCCCTGGGTCCCCAGGGGGAAGCCGCTGATAGACGCATAATGCAGTATTGTTTTGTTTCCTTTTCTTTCATGTGAGGTTAATTTAAAATAGCATTGAATCTTGTAACAGCTTACACATGATGACTCAAAAGTAGTCGATTGAATGTTTTAAGTTAAGTTTACTGACAGCAAATTACAAAACAGACAGGATCAAGATTCCAGAAATATTTTCTGTAAAGTTCACGTTAGTTTTCACGACACAAGATCGATTATTTTAAGTTAAGTTGTATAATACCAAGCTACGGAATATTAAATTAACTTAGCTTAAGCTTACATGTATTCTTATAGAAAAAAAAACATTTGGACTTTGTACTTTTGTTCTTTTTTCTAACCAAAACAGTTGCACATAAAACAATATCAGAATAAAACTAACCGATCACAACAAAAATTAATAATCGAAAGCGAAATGAGCTAAAAATCGATTTCGATTTCATTTATTGTCTTCRTGAAAATGCAGATGATTGCAAAATTGGAAATCACGCAACTATWAAATAAAATTCTATCAAAAACGATCAGTTTTTAATTTCTTAAATAGGAAGACTTACTTGAATCACTTGAATTAGATGATTGCACATAAATGATTGGAAATAGAGTAGAAAACGCAACCAGGAAAAGCGGAATTCTGTCAACAAACTGCGCCATTTTTGCAAAGTGGTTAATACAAATTGTCACGTGATGTCTACACAGGAATCCCAAAGTCATGGAAAAATGAATATTCATTGAGGTTAGGGGTTTGYATTTGATATACCATAGACAAGTGAGTTATTTTAATGCTTGCTTTTTCTTGCATAGTTTTTTTCATACATTTGGKGCCATTTTGCTTTCAAGTTTGTTTTTATTTAAGAGGGAAGCTGCAACAGATGCATTAAAAATAAATCAGGAGCCAAAAATAATTATGAATATAAAATGGCATAGATCACAGGACAGGCAACRCATGGCACAAAACCTCATGGCCTTGACGTCATTAATTTGCCTGCATGCATGAACAGTGAAGGAATGCAGTGAAGTGTTAGAGCGGATTTCGTATGAGTGGGACACCGTTACCGCACCTAGCCTGCAGAATTTTGGTGAAACAATGGGGCACTAGAATTTGGTTACAGTACGATTACGGACACAGTACAGTACCGTCTGTTTCCCACTCATACGAAATCCGCTCTACTGATGGTAAGCTTGCAGTGACAGATACCTGAAATATTTATTGGTAGTCAGTAGGTCAGAGACATTTCTATCATGGCACTATCCCCAGTAATCACACTTTTATGTAAGGCATTGCTATCAAGATAGCCATTTTAACTTTGATGTACATGAAAGCCAAAAACTTATTAGAGTATGCAGTTCAATGTAATTTTGTTTTGTTTGTTTCTAAAACCAAAGACTCACTAGATYGTACAAACACTAAAAGCATGCAACACTTTTTTTAAACAATAAAAACAATAAAATTAGCATAATTTAGCAGTATTTAGTGGTATTTATGTTGCACAGTTTTAGTGTTTGTACTCTAATGATGATAAAATTGTTCACTGAAAAAAGTTAAATTTGAGCAAAATGTTGCCAGAGATGCGACACATTCAATTTGCTCGATTTTAATTGTCAAGTAACGACTTTACAGCACAAGATTTAGGAGACTCCTAGTCATCATGGGAGTTATTCCCTTTATGTTTAATAATAGCCTAAAATATTGACATTTTCTAAAAATGAAGTAAAATATTATACCTCACATAGACACTTAAACTTATCTCAGTATCTTTTTTCACAGAAAAATTACTTTTGACATCTAAGACATTTTAATGCTCGACAATAATTACTCATTACTCAGTCTGGTAATACAATATTCTTATTCTTTGGTTGGTAAACCTGTCTCTAGGAAGTTCATGTCTGCATAGCGATTTCTCAAATAAAAAATATAAAATCAAAATGTTTTCTAKTACAGGATGTTTGGTTTTTGGATTCAYCAWATTCACATCGAGGCTGGGGCTGTGTTTTCTTGTATTGGACGATCTAGTTTGGCTTTAACAATCATGTTATGAAGTCTATTTAAAGCCTTTTTCAAAGAGTCCTGCTGTCGCTTCACACCCGACATCCCCTCGTAAAGATTTTTTTCCAAATCTGAGACTTGCTTTGTGCTCTGTAGTACGTCTTCATCTTTTGCACTTTTACTGTAACAGCTGTCAACTGGTCGCTGCTTTATATTCATGTGTTTTCCTCTTATTTTGGTTAATTCCATGTTGAGTTCATGTAGATTTGCAGTAGCATCCTGGAGCTACAGAAAAACCATCAGTTAGATGAATAAACACTTCTTAGACAATCAAGTGGGTGCTTCAAWTCACAGGTCTATTATTCTACTTGCATCWAGTTTATTTTGAATTTCAGTCCTCTAGGCAAAAGTTACATTTGTTTTCAATTATCATAAGTATCAAAAATTATCGTTTTTTCATTAAATAATTCAATAGAGGGAAGTCATTAAGCCTATGAAGCAAAATATAACTGATGTGTAAAAATTATAAAGACACAAAAGGAAGTATTAAGGTAAGATCCCTAACCTGTGGACAGAGCTCAGTCAAATAATGACCTTGGTCAGTTTGCCCTTAATCACCACCAACCACCCCCACCCACTCCCCTCCTCCAACTGACAGTATGAGTGACAGTCAATGACAAACCTCATGTCAACAAAGGTATACAATGGAGAGTTTGCTCAAGTGTGAAAATAAATAAATAGAAAATCTCATTAGGATTCTTCTAGTTGAGCTTTCTAAACTAAAATTATCAACAACAATTAAGGAAATTTCAAATACAAATCCACTGAATATTTCTCAATTTCTTAATGTCTTCCTTTGAGAAGAATGACAAGCTGGGTTGTTAGGCAGTTAAGAAAAAACAGCRCAAAGCTTTAACGGGATACTAGTTTTTATAGCGTTTTCCTGATGGCACTCGATCGACCAATGGAGAACTTCGAGTACGGTGAGGGGAAGGCACCTATCTTAAACTACTTATATTTTGTCAACGTATTAAGTCTTAATGAAAAGTGAAATTTTTCAAGATGAAAGAAGAGGACTGTTTACCTGAGAGAGCGAGCTAGTTATTGCTTGATCTAGGTTCTTGATTTTTCTGGAGATCTCTGGGTAACCATGTTTCTCMAGCAAATCATTCATTCCCTCAGCTAGCTGACGCTCAGTTACTTCTTGTAAGTAWGTCTTATGCATGATCCAAGCTGCGTCTATGTACAGCTTTAAATCTCTTTTCCCCCAATCGTTGTAGGCTCGATCACTGCATAGCTCTTCAGCTGTCTGATTCCAAAATCGCCAATATTGTCTGGTCATCTCGGCATCCTGGACTTCGATTTCGCGGTCGGAAAAGATTCGTATACCTCTACGTCTAGCATAGGGRTATTTGTCACCCGGAACAATTTCTGGCAGTTTTTCAGCTGCTTTAGATTGTTTCGACTTCTTTGCTCTCTTTTTCGGTGGTTCAGCGACATCTCGKTCACCATTTTCATTAGAGTTTTTCACAGGGGAGTCAGTATCGATGCCATCGCTTCCACTCGTTGCAGATGGTGGCTCATCTTTCTCGGTCCTTTCAACTGTTTCCTCTTGCTGATTTTCAGAATTTTGATCTACAGTCCCTTCTTCACTCATTATTGAACCTATATTTACCGATAATACCAAGCTAACCGAGGAAAGGATTGGAAAAAAACTCGAGTAAGTGACTTCTTTGAGCTGATTTGGAATGTGAGTTGGCGAAGCGTCTGTACCACCCCTCCCTGTTAGTCACCAGACTCTACGCTGTACAAGCTCCCAGAGATCAAYGCGTTACTAAAAAGCACAGGTAGCCCAAACAAACAGTATTGAACAGATCGATGCACTATTGACCAACATGCCCCTTGTGTAGATCCTTCTCAGTTTCCCAACAGAAAATTAGACAGGAATGATTTTTTATATTTCTTTCTTTTTTTTTAATTCCCACCATCTTCTTTTTTTTAAATTCCCACCATCATATCATCCCTCTGTCTTCTGCCGTTGTCCCCAACCGCCCTTCATTTCTCCATAGGAAAACCGAGAAGGACATGGTTATCAGAATGTACACTGGCRAGATTCAGGTTTCCATCAGTAATCAAAACTAAAGAAATAAATAAATTCAAGGACATTCAAAACGACAAAATTTGTTTAATATTTGATTTAACACAGAGTTYAGTGCCCAGATATCTTYAATATTATTATTAGAGTAAAATATTAGAAACCTAAATGTTGCAATTYACATTGACAAACAATTTCATTCTCAATGCATATGCATCAATGAAGTTGCCTAAAATTAAATAGTTTTACTGGGTGAAAATTCTTATAAAAAAATTACAAAATAAAACGTTTCTCCTTCTAGTTCAAAGTAGTCAGTCATCATTGTCATTCTCTGAAGTTTGGTTAGTTTTAGCTCTGTACTTTCTCCACTCTTTACCCAATTCACAATTACATGCACATTCAAATCAATGACTTCTTCTCTTTTGTCTTGCAAGAACAAGTATCATTCTATGCTCTCTGTATAGTCCTGGTAAGCTTTCTCATCCATAAGATCATCAAGTTCTTTAGGATCATTCACTTCCATTTTTACTATCCAACCTGCAATATTAAAGTAGCAGAACTTAAGATTTCTAGTCTCATCCAAAGACAACTCCTGATTCTTGTTGGGCTTCCTTTGTAAAGAAACCAAAGTAGCCTCAGCAACTCTCTCTTCCTTTCTGCTCTTCTTTCTACTTTTGGGCTCCCTGTCTAACTCATTAGGGAACTTCAGATTTGACAATGAGTACGAGATTGAGTACGAGTTTCACAGGAATGTAATTCATGATTAAAAGCACACTTAAGGCTAATTTTAAAACTTGGATTCATACTTAATTTCGTACTCGTTGTCAAATCTGAAGTTCCCTAATGACTGAGGAAGACTGTGGCCCAGAAGAAAAGAGGACATCATCAGAGGGATTCCAGTGGAAAATATCCACATGATTGTTTTATGCATGTTAGCGCTTGTATGATATACAAATCCCATCCCACTTAACTAAGTACTTTTGTTCTTACCTTCTTCATAGGGGGAGGAATTCACTAGTGATGGATCATCTCCCAATGTAGAATTGATTTCGGTAATTTTGCCTGTCAAAGGCGAGTAYAGTTCACTTGCAGCCTTCACACTCTCTAAAGCTCCAAACTCAGCTGAAAAAATTATAATTTTGAATTTACCATAGGCTAATAATTTATATTCTCACCCAAGTATACATGTAGGCTTCAAATTAAGGGATGAATGCCCAAAATATCACTTGTCCAGAGTATATATTTATTCTTAGTTTCCAATTCACTAGGTTTTCTTTGTTATTCATAGGGTTGTATATACCATAGAAACTTAAAGCCGGGGAGGGATTTGATGTTCAGCAGGGAAATGTGGGGTTGATGAATTGAATTGAATAGCTCGTTATAAATTCAGCAGGATATATATGAGTGACCGGAATCACTCATATATAGTCCGCTGAATTTATAACGAGTTATTCAATTCAATTCATCAACCCCACATTTCCCTGCTGAACATCAAATAAACTAAGTAAACTAAACTATTTTTCCCCTAAAAAAAGACCAGTGTGGCCAGCAAAACTTGAGGAGATTTAGAGTGTAATAAGTTCGAGTCCCGCAGCTTTTCTTCATATGTTCATCAGAGAATAGAGACAACAATAACCAAGATCTTCGCCGTTACTTTTAAAAGAATCTATTCTTCGGAATTAACCAACGTGTATGAATCAGAAGTAATCGGTGTGACTTGGTCCATTCTATCCAAGCACGTACACACGGCCATTTGGTACTTTTGTTTGTTCCTTCTTGAATCCTTCCCTCGTATTTTTTCGAGCGAGTTCAACATCAAAAACTATTGTAATTTTTCTCATTTTTTCCCATCTGCAGACTTTGTCATCGTTATTTGCGGGAAGAAGCATGCGGAGTTCCAAATCCRATAGCAAATCGTCAATATCAAAGTTCGTCAAAGGAATGCATGATGTCAATACGTATTTTGAGCTATAAACAAATCGTCACTGTTCGACATCGTTTATAGAATGGCTCGGCTAAGAATATTTGATAACAATATTCAAATTTCGATTGCTCGCTTTCGCATGAACAGGTTTTCTTAAAGGAAACTAATTTCAACAGTCCATAAAAAAGTCTCAAGAGAAGAGGATTCTATTGTTCGATACCCAACTAAGAAAACATTCATTAAGTCTATTCAGTTTTTGCGAAAACCACGTGAATTGAAAACTAAGTTTGTTAGTTACCTCGCACGTCGGCATTACACTATATACAGCCCTCGGGCCTGTGGCCCTCGGGCTGTATATAGCGTAATGCCTCCGTTCTCGGTAACTAACTCTTACATCTTTTTATATTGCAACAGTATCCAACATGTACATAGGCCTCTTCTGAGGTAAAAGTTTGAATTCCATTGTGGTCAGGATTCATTTAA